AATATATGATTCCCACAGAAGACCACAGCCACATTTTGATGTTGGAGCCACAGTATTGATTACTACCCATGTACTTAGCCAAGCGTCAAAAGGAGTATCATCAAAGTTTGTTCCGAAGAGAGACGGTCCCTATGTCATAACAAGGAAAATTGGTTCATCGTCCTATGAAGTAGCTTCTCCTGAAAATATCTACTTTCCACTTGGTACATATCATGCGTCCGCATTGACACTTTATGCAGATGATACTACTAATATTATGCCACAGCCTGTGCATCCCATACGCAAGAGAGGAAGACCAAGGAAGTCCTAAGATGTGTTGTCGTGCTTTCGGACCGAAGCCGCACTCCAAAGGGGGAGATTGTAGCAAGATATTTTATTATTTCTCCATAAAATATTCATAAGAAGAAAAAAAAACATTAGTATAAGTCATTATTATCCTATCGTTAATCCTTGTTGTTTTGTTTTGATTCACTGTGCAACATTATTTAGTTTAGACTTTGAACCTTTGCACTGCGTAAATATTTATTGTTTGTAACGAATATTCAAAACAAATTGAGTGAACGAACAAACGCAACAGTTATTGAGTGACTATTGATCACTGATTGAGTGTTAGTTTAACGTTGTTTATGTTGTCTCTTTTATCCTTTAGTTTGCTAACGTAAAGAAAAGCTTTTGTCAGTTAAGATATTGAGTTAATTTGAATTATATTCGATCAAATACTTTTGAAAGCTTTGTTTGGATCGCTATAAAAGGACAATGGTTTTACACAACAGACCTTGATTCTCTTATAGACAATCCATACGGTAAGAAGTAAGTCTTCTTGGAAACATGATAATGTGGCCGGTTGACTTATTCTTCCAAAGCTAATTACATGGAATACTTGGTGAAAGCGATGGCAGTCCCTTGTATTCATGTCTGAGGCATATGGAATAATTGTCAACAATGTAAGATTATTGCTTTAATAAAATATTATAACGTTTTATGTAGAAAACCTTGGTGTGTTTCATTTTAATTGGAAAATATTCAAAGACACACACTAAAACCCGCTACAATATCAAATTACGCAGATTCGCGACTACAATAATCTTATAATCGATTTCTAGAAATTCATGTTCGCGTATTAAAGCTAGAAGTAAAATTAAAAAAACACTCAAAATCGAGCTTCAAAATGTCAGCATCATTTAAAGGTAGATGCAGTGAAAATTTTGAAAAATGATACATAACGGGCCTAGTCCCCATTTTGTTGGCTTCTAGTTTTACTTTGACACGAAGACCGTGAAATGAGTGGCTTAGTCACAAATCGATAGAGAACATAAAAAAAACTGGTTCGCCTCAACCTGTTTTTACACATTTTTTTACATTAAAGTAGACACAGCTTCCACCAAAATAAAGTTTGGAGGTCAATATCATGAACAGTTTGCAACGAGAGATCAATTAACCCAAAACTATTCACTTTTTTTCATATACTTAAGTAATTCCCGAGTTATAAAGGGGTGAACCTCCGCTTCAGCTATGTTAAACAATTGGCAATATTGCCCATATATATTACAAACAATAAACAGAAATTGAAAATTCGCTATTAATCCATTTGTCAAAAATGAGACAATCTGATTGTGGGTTTTTGTTTATGGTTGAATTTGGAAATGATTAGTTTCGGTATTTCAATAAAATGAAAGTTTATAAAATAGAAAGAATTGTGTAGTGAATTCATTACAATTTTCACGAGCAACTCAAGACATCGAATATTTAGCAAGTACCCGCAACATCATTTGAGATTTTTTAATTTAATTTAAACGAGAATCTAGCCCAAAGGGCCAAAAGCGATTCAAAAAACAACAAATTAAAAGTAATATATTCTATTTATGCCAAAACTAGCAAATGTCCGCTGCTTTATTTTTTTTTTATTGATTCTAAAGCCTCCAAGGCCAATTAATAGTTTGACAATTATAACATTATCCTAAGTAGTAAATTATCTATACAATGCGCGGCCCAGCCACAACTGCAGAAAAAAATACAAAAAAAAACCGGAATTCATAACAGAATACACCTCAGATGGGTGCAAAGTGTGTTACAGAACACCTTGGCGTGTGTTCGATACACTTCTGCCGTTGAAGTGAATGCCAGAACATGCCCGATAATTACAGAAGGTAGTCTCATTTGAGAATTTTATGATGGCAACCCATTTTAATTTGGAACTCGTCCATGGTATAATAAAAGAAGGTAACAGCAAGTGTTGTTGTACAACAAACGATACAACAACCACATTGAAATTTGTTTTTGTAAGTTTTACTAGTGTCAATATCATTTGACAGAAAAATGTAAACAAACAAATTATCAAAAAATAATATTTATTTTGAAAATGAAATATTTTCGAATCCTCAAAATAAAATTTGAAAACATGAATGAAAATCTATCAAATTTACATTTCTAGCGCTTCCACATCTTTCCTATAATTGAGCCATTGCCACTTATATGTGTAACACATATGAAAATGCAGGGAATTGCCAGTTATTCCATGAAGAAAGATTTTCTTCCTCAAACTTTCCCAGGTAACAGGTAACAGCAAGTCCCAGCTGATTTGATTCCAACGTAATACTAGTGTCAATATGAATTTGACAAATTATGTTTTTAAAAATCACCCAACAGGAAAATTGTGAACGCATACAATTTGTAATTGTTCTTTATTAAATGTGCTCCCGTATTCAACTTACTCAATCTGCCTGCTGGGAAAGTTTGAGGAAGCAAATCTTTCTTCAAGGAACAACTCGCTATTCCCTGCATTTTCATATGTGTTGCACATATATATGGCAATGACTCAATTATAGGAAAGATGTGGAAGCGATAGAAATATAAATTTGATAGATTTTCATTCATGTTTTTCAATTTTTATTTTGAGGATTCGAAAATATTTCATTTTCAAAATAAAAATAATTTGATGATAATTTGTTTGTTTGTTTACATTTTTCTGTCAAATGAGTTGACACTAGTAAAACTTACAACAACAAATTTCCATGTGGTTGTTGTATTGTTTTTTGTACAACAACACTTGCTGTTACCTTCTATTATTATACCATGACCTTGTATAGTTATGCCATGGGTGCTACCTATTTTCCTAAATTGTTTAACCTTTTTTTGATGTCATCCATTTTAATTTTTAAAATCTGGCCGACTTACAAATTGGTTCAATAGGTTTAAACGAAAGGTAAGTCATTTCATAAACGAATAACACGAATAATAAATGATTTCTCATGTGTTGAATTGTATATTCGTGGACATACCAAACCTAAGACAATAAAATAGGTACACCTAATTTAACTATTCTATAAAATGTATTTATGTATGTATTTGCTATTGCTTCCGTTAAGGTACACACCATGGCACATATAAACAAACACTCCCAACAGGTTGTTTTGTTAATTTGCCATATTTTTAATAAGGCAAATATCTTGACGCACTGGAAGGATGGATACCCTGTTGCAGTCCTCAGGACACACATAATTTAATGGAACCACATAACTTACACACACTATTTTACGCTGTGTATGTTGTTGGCAAGGATTATTTGTCAGCTCCTCCTCCGCAAATAGCTGGCGTCTACACATATTATTTACGATCCAAAGTTCCTCGAACAGCTTTGCGTGACTGATTGTATCAAATGCCTTTGAAAAAAAATGCAACTTGCATTTAACAGAGTAGTTCGATGTATGTATTCTCGTCGTCCTTTTGATCGCATTTCCGATTATGTTCGATGTTTTCTGGGTTGCTCGTTCACACGTTTTGTCAACTATAGACTATTGTTATTATTCTACAAAGTATATAAATAACATTCACCACAGTTTTTAATCAACTTCTTTACTTTTTCTCATTCAGTTCGTGTGAATCATCATGCCTAGAATAGGACCTCACATGAACGAATCGATTAGCGTTAGAGTATCAAGAAGTCTTCTTCAATATTTCTCTGAAACCACGCAATGGATTGATGTTTTTTTTTTTCAACAAACTTTATTTTATTATTCGGTCTATGGCTGAAACTGATTATCATTTAAAATTTTTAACTTATTTTTCCTTTTTTAAATAAATTTGTATATATAAATAATGGTTGTTATGTAAAAGTAGCGGCTTAACTTAGTAGTTATGATGTAATATATTATCAGTGCTAATTATAATATTTATTTATTATTTTTCATGTTTTTTTTTTATATAAATATAAGTATTACGCATATATAATTCTATACTGAGTAGCTATGAAATGCGGTGGAATCTTTGTAATTAACTTTAAATTGGCCACATAAATTGTAAATTGGCTTAAGGAAGGAATCGAATAAAAATAAAATAAATAATCACCAGACCGAATTTATATTTCAAAGTGGTTATTTGCGACATTTAGAAGCACTTAGAACTTATAAGCATTCCAATTTTAATAATTTTAGTTCATCGTTTATAAGCCCTAAAAATGCAAATGTGCGTGTATGTGATAAATGCTGTAATACAAGATTCTTCCAGGTGCTTTCATTTACAATCATGGTAATACTTTCATAGTTTATAAAAGTCACATTGACATTAATTGTATACAAAACTATTTTTATTGTGTTTATTTTGACAAACTTATGTAATGTTTAACGACGATGTTTCCTCTCTGCACTATGTACATGAATTAAACCGTTCATACTTTTCATAATTCATGACATCGAATTTTAATTGTTTAAAAATAAATAAATTGAAAGCATAAACTGTTTGTTTCTTGTATTATAATGTAAATATTTGAACTACATCGGGAGCATTATTGTCTCACACTACCCACTCTCTCTCCCTCTCACTTCTGTTTGAATAAAATAGCATTTTATCGATTCAAAACAGAAATGTGTGAAGTATTTTTTTTAAGATTAAAGTTTTAGTAGTAATTTACTAAAATTTTAAGTGGAACTAAATTTAATGTATGCTTCCCCCTACTAATACAGACAGAATAACAAAACCAGAAAAGTTTCGAAATGTCAACTTACCTCATCTCCAGGATCATAATACTGTTCCAAATAGGGATTCGCTAATGCTTCTTCGACAGATATTCTATTGTGAGGATTAAACGTTAACATTTTGCCTAACAGGTCCAGGGCCCATTCATCGGCATTGGGGAATAACCGTGGCCAGGGCACTTTTGGTTTGAATGGCAATGACTCCAAATAGTTGCGTGCCTTTTGAAACAATACACACTACATAAGTATTTTATTTCTATTTATTGCACTTTGTAATTATTACCTTCTCGTTGATAATGCATTCCAGATCCTCCTTAGATGGTGATCCAAGAACACCTAAAATATGATTCAATTGATCCAGGTAATGTTTTCCTGGAAATATGGGTCGATTGCTAAGCATTTCTGCTAAAATACAGCCAACGGACCAGATATCTATTGATTTGGTATATCCCTTAGAGTTGAGCATTATTTCGGGTGCTCGGTACCAACGAGTAGCAACATACTCTGTAAGGAAACCAGTGTGATCATGTTCCGGATCAGCTACACGGGCCAAACCAAAATCGCATATCTTAGGAAAAAAAAAAACAAACAAAGTTGAATTAATGAATGTGATTCCATAGTCTTAACAATTTCCAACATACCTTCAGGTCGCATGTTGTATTCAATAGTAGGTTACTTGGCTTCAAATCCCTATGTAATACATTAGCAGAGTGAATGTATTTTAAACCACGCAGAATTTGATACATAAAGTAGCAAATGTGATCGTTGCTTAGCCTCTGCAATGAATAAAATAAAACATTAGTGGCTCAATAAACATTTGGTCTGTTCCCTTACTGCACGAATCTACTCGATTTTACTATTTTCTTCGATATCATAAAGGGAAATTCGTTATCATAGTAAAAAGTAGTAGATTCTTGCAGTACGGGAACATACCAATTGTTTTCATAAATAAACAAAGGAAGGCAATTGCATGTATTGTCAAAAATGATAATTACCTGGGTTTTAAGTAATTTATATAGATCAGTCTCCATTAAACACTGTACAATATATACATCACGCATTTGCTCTATGCTGTCCACCCTTAAAATATCACGTATATCGATTATCTGAAAATAAAATATAAATACAACATTATAAAAAATCTTAAATGATTTTCCTAATTCGCAGTAAACATAGATGTGTGCTTCGAAAACCGATTCAGCCAGTTTCGGCTGAAAATGACAATGAAAAACTTGTGGTCGTACTTCAATATAATTATCATGGTATAATAACACTGTGCGACACGAAAATTTTTCAGGGGTTCTAATGTACCAATTCTGTTTAGTTGGAGTCCCTGGACCACGAAAATACCTTTGGTTTTTCTGGGTCACTGCGAAAATTAAATTTATAACGGTAAATATAGAGAAAAACGTGGTTTCATGGATTTTCAATTTGAAACTCGAATAACATATTTACTTTTTAACAGATTTATATTATTATTTTTTTCTTTCGATGGGTACAATTTTTCCTTTCAAACAAGATATATATTTGGTAAATCGGCTGAGGATTGGCTGAGTTACAGCGGTTGAAATGTAAAAAAATACGCATAAAATTACAAAATTTATTTTTCTTCGGACTGTACGATGAAATTATGATATCAAGCCATATAAGTTTTATTATATTACGGGGAAGAAAATTAAATTAGTTTTTGAAAATGATAAAATGAAAAAAAAATCAAAAAAATCGGTTAAAAAATGGATGACTTATACACATTTTTGTATTGATTCTATGAATATTCTCTAAAGGAAATATGGGTCTATCTCGTTTCCTTTTGCCTCTTGCAAACATAACGGTTTGTATATAATAATATAAATCCGTTAAAAAGTAAATAAGTTATTCGAGTTTCAAATTGAAAATCCATGAAACCTCGTTTTTCTCTATATTTACCGTTATCAATTTAATTTTCGAAGTGACCCAGAAAAACCAAAGGTATTTTCGTGGTCCAGAGACTCCAACTAAACAGAATTGGTACATTAGAACATTAGAACCCCTGAAATTTTTTTTTTTTATTTTGTAGCACCGTGTAATAGGAGGTAACAGCAAGTGTTGTACAACAAACGATACAACAACCACATGGAAATTTGTTGTTGTAAGATATACTAGTGTCAATGTCAATTGACAGAAAAATGTAAACAAACCAATTATATTTATTTTGAAAATCCTCAAAATAAAATTTGAAAAACATGAATGAAAATCTATCAAATTTCTATTTCTATCACTTTTACATCTTTCGTATAATTGAGCCATTGCCATTTATATGTGAAACACATGAAAATGCTAAGAATTGTGAGTTATTCCATGAAGAAAGATTTGCTTTCTCAAACTTTCCCAGCAGGCAGATTGAGTAAATTGAAAATGGGAGCATATTTAATAAAGAACAATTTCAAATTGTATGTGTTCCCAATTTTCCTGTTGGGTGATTTTTAAAAACATAATTTGTCAAATTCATATTGACACTAGTATTACTTTGGAATCAAATCAGGTGGGATTTACTGTTACCTTTTATAATTGTACCATGTATAATTATTAGAAATTTAGCATAACGTTAAGGGTCGTACCTAAATTCATGCGTTTGCGTACGTATTTATTCACAACAAAAGTTAAATACATGTATTTCAATGAATGTTTCCCAAATACGCATTGCGTATAAAAATTTAAAGTTGAAATTTTTCAACATTGACAATGCGTATTTTAATTTTTTTGAAAATAGAATTTCAGTCATTGAAATTTGTGTTTCAATAAATGTAAACATTTTTCGATTAATTAATAAAATGTTTTCATCCATTTTCAATTGGCACATATGCAAATAAAGTCCTTGCGTATTTGGGTCTAACAAACCCTATGAAGGTGATTTTTGTACGGAGCGCAAACTTTTGTTGAAGTTTAGTGGAGAAATTTTAATATTGTCTCGTTAAAGTGTTATCCCTGGCCAAGCAAATTACGAATATATAGGATTGGATTAGATTAACAAGGTTATTAATAAAAAATAAAATGTTTATAATTTAGTCATGGACAAAGTTCCAGAAAACACACAAATAAATCTACTATAACACGTTAAATACTTACATTTTCATGTTTGAAGCGAGTTAAAATTTTGATTTCGCGTAATGTGCGTTGACAATATGTTTGATGTTCGAAGGGTGATATTTTCTTTATCGCCACTTTTGTATTCGTTCGTGTGTCATATGCCGATCTGTAAGTAAATAAAATTTATGCATGTATTATTTGAATTGGTGATCCTGTGTAATGCGGTGTACGCACTAGCATTTTTGAATGGCACTCTTGCCCAAATTTTGCTTGTTTGATAGTGTGGCCTCACATGTTTGTCATTCATCAGGCAACCACAAAAATATTTATGGTTGTTGGACAGTCAGTAATCGATAAAAAAGTTGACAGTAAAAAATGATAGTGTGTATACCGCTTAAATTTTATACGATAATCACAGATTATTAATAATAATTAATGGAGATGTTATAAAACATCGAATCTATTTGTCAAACGTAAATCAAATACAAAAACAGCGTTTATCGGTACCCTCCTTCTTCAAATGGTTAACATTTTTTAACGGTTTCGGTTAAAGTAGATATCGGATATAAGAAACTAAAAAACAGAGATTTCTTCCTTATTTGCGTTTTGTTCCTATATGGAATTATCGGATATAAGAAAGTGGTTTCTTATAAGCGTGCATACGCATAGAAGAAATCTGTTTGTTATATGAATATATTCTCCTTAAATAAAATGTTTAAATGAAAAGTAAGAAAAACATCAAAAAACATATAAATAAAAGAAAAAAAGAAAGTTTATAAAAATACAAAATAAATTACAGCCTTTTTTATATTTTTTTACATAAATAAACAGTTTGGATGTTATGAAATTGATAATCTAGTCTTCTTCTCCAAAATAGACCCTAACCTAATTCTAGGCTTTGTCAAAAAATTGACTTGGCTAAAATAATGTCTCTTCCGCTCCCACCTATTCTGACTACCTCTCTCTCTACTCTTCCACTATCTTTTCTTCTTTCTCTTTATAGGTACACCTATACATAAAGGATGATCACAATGGACATAGTTTCCGAGTGGACGGTTGTTACAACAGCCGTACATCCCAAACCTAACCTAAGGTTTGGTAGAATTTGGTTCGATTCGAATTAAAAAACAGGCGGTTAAAATCAGTTCACAGTTTGGCTAAAAATAGCTGTATACGTATAAATATTTTTTAAATAGAATGAAAAAGTCTTATTTTCCTTTGTGCTAGGGAGTTAGCGCGCTGATGAAATAAAACATTTTCAATGTTAATAAATTGGTCAACAATCTTAAATAGTTTCTTATATGAATCGTTTTCAAATACCTTTTCAAATATCTCGGTGTTTTTGATAAACTTTCTTATATGAGATGTGCTTATATCCGATATCTATTTTATTATTGTACATATTTTTTATTATTATATTATTATGTATTAGAACAGATTTTTTGCATTTTATTTTGGTATATATGTATACAATTATAAAAAAATCAAAGTAATAACTTTAATAAAGAAACATGTTTATTACTAACAAACTTGAAAAAAAGTTTTTAATTATTCAGTGTGTATACATATTCTTGACATACTGTGTATTACACAAATTTATTTACACTTATACAACATCAGACAAAACCGCGAAATATTAGGTTGGGGAAGAAGAAATCCATTATTTTTTCGGCAGATGGATGTACTGATAGATTTCTGAATGCAGTTGTGAGTTACAGGGTGTTAAAAATGGAAGTGAACAAAGAGAAAATTCGATACATTTTACAGTTTTTCTTTGACATAGGCGAAAATGCAAGCCAAGCGGCTAAAATTGTTGTTTATGGTTCCGATATTGTAACAGCTAATTATAGCTCTGTCTGTTGACTCGATATTTGGTAACAATTGTTACTAAATGTTACTAAATGTTGTCTGTTTACACAAAAATCCAGTAAAAGAGAGTCAAGTGAAAGAGCAAGTTTGACAGTTGAACAACAACAAAGTGGCTGGAGTTTACTGAAAGAATTTTATTCAGTAAGATTTTGCAACTCAGCCATTTTCTGATCAGCTGTTTTCTGACCAAACACAAAAATTATTTAAAACATTTTAATTTGCAAAGTTCAATTTGAAGTTAATTACAGAAATAGGAAGAAAATTCGTAAGTAATGCAAAGTTTCATTAAATTAGAAACTAATTCCTTATATATTTTAAGGCAAGTTCCAGATAGAGGGCAATGTATTGATGCAGGGAGCTTAAATGTTCCCGGGGAACATACCAGATCAATTTATCTTTTATTATTCATTTTATTTTTAATATTAAATGCAATACAAATAATTGTGTTCGTCCTTTGTTTGTTGTTTATTTTGGCGCAAATCAAATGTTTTCTTGAATCAGCTGTTTATTTGCTAAATCTTACTAAATGTTGTCTGTTTACTTTTTTCAGTATTATCGCAAAAGAGAGTAAGAAAGGCTTACTCTCTGAACTAGAACTTACTGAATAAATGTTACTGGAAAAGTAACCAGACACACCTTATGTACAATTTTGGTTTCGTAGATTCCGTTCAGGAATTTTTGATGTTAAAGATGCACCTCGCACAGGTAGGCCGATCGTCGGAAATGTCGATAACATCGCAGAAATTATTGAAGTTGACCGGTAGCAGTCGTAACAACGCCCATGAGCTAAAAATCGACTGTAAAACTTTTTTAAACCATTTACAATTGACCAGAAACGGCCAGCATTGGCCAACAGATACAGTCCGGGCTTGGCACCCAGCGAAAAAAAAGAAAAAACAATCCCACATGTTTGTGCCGTATTTTTTCTACATGGGAGGGGCGTTATATTCCGGGATGCCTGCTCCGAACCGGGATAGAAATAAACCCCGGACCTTGGTTCTGTTCCGTTTGTCGGAAACACATCCACCACAGATCAACGTCGGTGAGATGCAATAGATGTATGGGATGGGTGCATTTCTGCGGCTGTTCAGATCGTCGCCAACGTTATCGTCGTCAACGTCTTTGTCGTCGTCGGATTATGAGACAACCCAACAGTCTCCTTTACAGCAGACGCAGAATTTAACACCACATTTTCCTGTACAACGGCGAGGAAATGCAGCGTTTTTGCAGTTTAACTGCAATGGACTGCGAAATAAAATTAGAGGAGATTGCCACAACTCGCCGGACATCACCATTGTGTCACCAGGTCTGATAAATGACGTAATCTGGAACCCGTAATTTCTCTTGGTTCAGGCCGTAAGTAGACCCCCCGATTTCATAACCTCTGAACGCCGAACTTTCCTGAACCATGGTAAGGCTGATTGGCAAGGTTTCATATCCCCACATTCGCTCAGATCCCCGGGTAGATGGGAGGAAATTCCGAGACATAATCACTGCTGCAGCCGCCCGCAATATACCTGCTGGTCGTATACCCGAAGTGAGTCCAAACAGCAGAAGCGACGGTGCTTGCGATTGAGCGTGATGAGCTTCGTCGTACAACACCTGAAGACCCAAGAGTGAAAGAACTCACCCTTGAAGTCAACAGATTAGTATGCGAGCACAAGCGGAAAAAGTGGTTAGACCACCTGAAGCTCTGCAACATTGGATCCCCAACAAGTAAATTGTGGGCAACAGTTAAGTCACTCTCGAATCCCGGCAGGAAGGATGATAGAACGGCTGTCACGTTTAACGACGTAATGATGATCCGAAGAGATGCGCGAGTTTTTTTTAACAGGCAGTTTATAGAGCACCCCGTGAGTGACATGGCTAAACGAGTGTGCTTCGTCGTATTAGAGGCCTCCGAGCCGAGGTGGTACCACCACAATTTTCGAAGGATGATGTTGCATGTGTCATTCGAAACGCTAAATCATCCAAAGCTTTGGGCCCGGATGGAATCTCAATGATAATGCTGAAGCAACTGGGTAAACCTTGAGTGGGGTACCTAACTGCTGTTCTCAACCTGTCGTTAGCCACCCACATTGTTAATGAAGCCTGGAAAATAGGCAGCAGAGGTGAATCGTACAGGCCGATTTCCCTTCTGCCTCCAGTAGCAAAGACGCTTGAGTCAATACTCCTCCCTATGATGAGAAGTAGGTTTCCAGTCCCTCAAAATCAACCTCTACCTTTCTGAAATTCCACAACCACCGGACGGCATAGAGATCGTAATGTATACGGATGATTGTACGATCATGGCGTCAGGCGCCATTATCGATGGCATCAGTGAAAGGTTAAATGTGAATGAAATGAAGGTGTTACGAGTAGAATACAGTTTGTTAATAAAAATAAAAAAAAACTCCCTGATGATGATCGTCGAAAACAATCAATTGGATAGAATTATATATGATTATGATGAACGCCGAAGACGATCGAAATATCGGAAACAATATAAAAACACACTAAATAAAGCAGAATTTGTTTTATTAAAACGACTATGGCAATTAAGTCAATTTAGGTAGTCTTTTACTTTTTTATTAATGCAAGTCTTCTAAATTGGTTTCGATAAGTCTCAAAATTCAGAATTTTAATGTTTTTTATATCTGATAAATGACAATAACATTTTCTTTTTTGTTTTGAGGAAAAATATAAAGCAAAAAACATACTGTCATAATGAACAAATTGGCTATTTTGCATGCATTTGTCATCAAGGTGGACCAAATATCGCAGGAAGATAGAACATTTCCGCGGAAAACTAAAGCTGGCTTAACTCGAATATTGACTACAAAACAAAAAAGGATACACGGGCTTGAGTTTCCTTTCGAATATTAACCCAAACCTCAAAATGTACGCTCTCTTGTTTATATATATACTTGTGGCCAAAACTAAAGCTACTAAAATTACATCGTTAATAAATGCCACATAACTTTTTCAAAAATAAAGATATCGAGTTGTTTTTTTTTTAATACGTTATTCACTTAAAAAAAACAGAAGCAAACTTTATAAAGAAATAAATAATAATTTATGGATAAGGGAATTGCCTCAATTTTTGCTTGGACAAAACTAAAGCAACTCTACAGTACAAACAGATGAGCTCTAAAATTTTAGTTATAGAGCTCTAAAGTTGTAATTATAAAGCTAACCCATTATAATTACACCTAAGTCTGTTTTTACACGGTCTTTTTGTACACGGTTTAAAAATTGAAAGTTTTTTTTTTAATCTGAGTATTTTTAATTTTTTACACGACGGAATAACCATTTAGCACGATTTGAAATTTTATGTACATAAATTTTTTGTCAAATTTTATTCTTGCGAAGTACCTTCATATCACAAAAAAGTATTTATTAAAGAAAAAATTCTGAAACCATCGATAGTATCGATAGTTTGCGAACACTAGCTTAAAGATTTAAGTGAATTCCCCTTTAGCGCGTAAAAACAATTTTTACTGGTCAAAGCAAATGTGAATAGCACTAATTTAGGGGAATTCCCTTTTTTACACTTCTTTTACACGGCTTCTTCTGGAACCAATCTACCGTGTAAAAACGGACTTAGGTGTGCTATGTTTTGGTTTCTACACCTATTTTTTGATCATTTTAAAAGGATTTTACTTCAAAAACATGTGTCTGTTTTCGATTTGACTTACTGCCAACAAATATAAAAAATGACTAGAAACAATTACAGTACAGTGATAAAGCAGCTAATTACCAATGATTATGAATAAATGTATCACAAAATATATTTTGGAGAAATATTCCGTAAACAAATCCGTGATTTGTCGAATTATAAATCTGTTTTATGCAACTAAATCGGTAGTGAACATTCATCACGGAGAAAGACTGCAATCAACAACAATCAACAATTTGCCATAGCAGTAAAAACTCCCATTTAAAACTTCAACGGAAACGTTCGATATAACCTTAAGAACAGAGCGTGGACGAGCTGCCCGAAAACGATCAAGTAAACCATATTATATCTGAAAACATCGGATAGTCAGATTTGCTTTCGCAAAAGCTCATATTAATTGGAATACGACTCAGTGGAGAAATACAAAAACCTCAAACACGAAAAAAGAACAAATAATTTAAGGCTCGAACCACAGTATTGCAAAGGTAGCATGGAGGTGTGTCAATAATGGTATGGGTATGTTTTTCTTTTTATGGAGTTACGAGATTTATTGTATAATGGATCTGATTGTTTATACAAATGTGTTGGAAAATGCAGTTCCCTTCGAAGAAAATATACCCCTTGACAGGGTGTCTAAGCATGGAAATAACCTCAAACATACATCGAAACTTGTCCAAGATTGTTTGCGGAAGTCCAAAATCAGGGTTTTATAATGGCGTCACTATAATCAGATCTTCAACCTATAGAATAGAATCTTTTAAGGGTATTCCTTTTTAAAATACATTTTTCGTTATTTTTTTAGCTAACTTCCTCTTATCATTTTTAGCTTCTTTTAGCTATGTATAGATATTTAATAAACGAAATGATAGCAAAATCAAAAGAGAAACCTAACTTCTTCCCACTGGTTCAGGATGCGAGGAGAAGTATACACAAGGATCAAATTATATCAAAAATGCTGCGTAATCAAAAATTATGGTTATGCTGTCGATTACTAGCAAAATTCACCAAAAATTGAGTCAATTTAGTTTTCCAGTGAATTTTTTTTACTTCAAAAAAATATGTTTATATTTTCTGTTTTTAAAAGTTAATAAATTACCTATTTATTTCTGAAAAAAAAAACTTTCATAAGTATATTTAAATAAAAAGTTACATGTCATTTATTCTGTTTGAAATTTTAGTTGCATTAGTTTTGGCCACCAGTGTAAATCATTAAAAAAAAAAAAATAAAAATCGCTTAACACTGCCGTTATTAATATTTGCCTTAAAAACAGGACAAATTACCTATAGTGATATAGTAAAAATTTGAAAACGATCCGTGACCCGGCATTGACCTAAACTTAAGCCCAAATTAGTAAAAAAATGGCCACCGTAACAATTGAAACAAAATAGAAGGTTTACATGTTTTCTAACATCAAATCTAAATGCATACACTTGAAATGTTATAGTCATAGCATTTAATTTTAAAATATTATTCATTGTTATTATTGGAATTTATACTTTTATCAGAATGATTATGAATTACATACATACATACACAGATAGATTCTTTGATAATATATTGTTATATGTGTGCGAGTTAATTATTGCAAATACTTACACTACCATACCATAAGCACCTTCACCGATATAGGCCAAGTTACGATAGCGTGGACCAACTTCAAATATCTGGCCACGAATTATTTCTGCATTGGGATTATCGGTGTGTGTTGACGATGACGCTGCTGAACCACTGCCGTTGTTATTCGGTTGCTGTTGTTGATTGGAACCACCTGCTGCCTCTGCCATAATGTTTTTTTTTTTTAACAACTGACTGGACCGAATAAAATTTGTTGATACTTTATATCTTTCAGATGAGATGCCGAGAGAATACTGTAAACTCTTCCCTAGTCCGTTTCCGTTACTTCCTATATTACAATTGCTTTCGAAAAAAGCCAACGAAAAGCCTTGCAAAATATGGGTAACGCCTATAGAACGCACCAACAACAGGTATCTTTTTGACAATTTTCACTTATTCTTACGCTACGGTGAGATCTACACCATTATTATACGGCGCATATACGACATACATACACACTTTGAAGAAAACAACAACAACACTACCACACTAAAAGCGTACTGATACTGCTGCCGCGGTTTATGGTGATGGTGAGTGTGGTATTCTCAGTCAGTATATGGTAAGTTAACAGGAGATTTATTGGAACAGTATGCAGCAGATATATGGCGAGTAGAGCAATCCACCAGTAAGGGGAGGGTAGCGGGGGTGTTTGATGCAAATGAATGTGGCCAATATGAAGAATCCGATTCGTGGTTACTTCGGCTGTTGTTGATTTTTGCTGCTGTGAAGTGTTCGAAGGCGGCACACCCCTCTCGACTTCAACGAAGCCTTAAAATGTGTAATTTAAGTTTTATGCAAAAATTCAGAGAGGCTATGGTTTCGGCGAACAAATTACTTCGCCCATCTACACACACTAGCCAAGAATGAATTAAACTGGGATTATAGATATTCCTTTTTCGCTTTAAACTTCAGAGCAGGTCTTTTGCATATTTCGCGAGTGCGGTCACTAATCACGTATATTTTTGTTTTATTTCGAAAACTGCCCGAAAATTATTGACTAAGGCAACTTTTGTTACTTATTTTCGAAAAAAAAAACATTTTTTTTGAGATTTCAAAGTGAAATTCTTATTGGACCTCTGTGCACTTTCCTGCTGTTGTCACTAGATACATTCCTGCTGCTGCGTCTGTTCGTGAATTTTGATTGGTGCTGCGCGATTTTACGACAAACAACGACGCAACGGCAATTGCAGGACTTGTTAAAAACGAGCAGACAACTTGCGATTCATGGAACGCCGACACAATATTTCGACGTATTTCTTTTAGTGGCACATTTGTTGATCTAATATTAATAAAACAATTGAATGTATTTCTCTCCTTTTATACACAATATAAAATTCTATATTTTAAAATTACTTTTATCCACAAAATGACGGATGACTACCGTCTTACGAATCAGAGAACGAGGTAGGGATAAGTAAATCGACTTTCGACTAATCGATTAATCGGATTTTCGTATTGAAAAGTCAAAAAGTCGAAGTCGACTTTTGATCTTTGAGGAAATCGTAAAATCGACTTTTGAATTTCTTATTACACCAAACCCAAAATTTTCTAAAAATTGCACATTCCATGAAGAAAGATTTGCTTCCTCAAACTTTCCCAGCAGACAGATTGAGTAAATTTAATACGGGGTATTTAGTAAAGATGACGGATGATTACCGTCTTACGCATCAGAGAACGAAGTCGGCACTTTTGTAGAACGTATAGCGGGAACAGGCGATTTGTAAATACAGGCGTGGGGCCAGGGCTGCCATATTTGCCGATTTATCGGCATTTTGACGATTTTTCACTCTAAAAATGGAAAATGCCGATTTTCCGATTTTTGCCCCAGAATTGCCGATATTTCAACAATCGACACAAATTGTCTAACTTTTTAATTTAATACGGCGTTACCATACAAACATATAAAATTGGCAGCTTTAAATCATTATAACTATCGGCGACACGCCGCAGCCGTTTTCAATGGCTTAGATATCTGCATTTTTGTCAGCATTGTACTCTGTCTAGTTTACATTTTACATCATGGGCACGAACAATTTTTTAGAATATGATGAAGTATATTTGGGTTTATATGCAAAAGATATTGTTTCAGAAACAAAACTTTCCAAAAATGACATAGACAAAATAGTTAGCACTTGCATTAATTTTCATATAGAAATTGAAAACCAAATATTAAAACGTTTTGATTTTAATTTAAATTCATTTAAATGCTTAAAACTTATTGATCCTGCAAGAGTAATGAAGAAGGGCAATAATTTTTTTCTAGATATTTTAAAAGAATTCCCCGATTTTATTTTGAAAATGAGAGGCAATCTTTAGACTCCGAGTTTAGGGAGTTAAACTTTCTGAATTTTGAAGAAATTTTTGAAAATGCAGATATAATTTAAAAAGTTTTTGGAAAAACAATTCCGAAATTAAATGTGGGGACTCCAATTTAGCTTTTCCAATTTTGTCTAAATTTGTACAAAGAATTATGGTTCTTCCACACTCCACAGCAAATGTGGAATGAATTTTTAGGCAGGTAAACCCTAACAAAACTAAAATTAGAAGCTCACTTGAGAATGATTCATTGGAAGGGATTCTTTACCTCAAACTAAATAATTCAAATTGTTTTAATATCAAAATTGATAAAGAATTACTAAAAATGTGTAAAAAAATATGTACTAGTTTGTAAGGTCATAAAAATATGACCTTAATACCACACTGTGTTATACGTAAATCTGAAAGATCTCACTAGTGTACATAATAATTACTATATTTTAGAAAAATCTACATTTTTTGTAGAAAAATGAATCTTTTATGTTATTTTTTTATACAGAATTATTAATGTAATAAACAATATTGATTTGTTATAAACCAAAAATATGAATTTATTTATAAATTATATGCTGCCGATTTTTTGCCGATTTTTAAAAATACAAATGCCGATTATGCCGATTTTTTTCTGAAAAATTGACGATTTTTCATGAAATTTAACAGGCAGCACTGCGTGGGGCGTAATGTATAGCGACATATTAAATTCAGCGTTGCCATTACGAAGAATATTTGTCGGAAACGGGGGACAGTAGATACAATTTGTGCGGACGCAAATTAGAAGTTGTTCACGTCTTTATTGTTTCGCTGTCACACTAGGAATGACGCTTCTTTTTTATTTCTCATCTTATCTTTTGTACATAATCTTATCCTTCTCTCTTACATTAAACATACAATTCTGTGTTGATAAATTAAACAATAGTCGTGTTCCAATACATTCTACTACAAAGTATGTGTTTTAGAGTAAATTTATAGTGCGTTTACACTGTACTGGATTTCGTTAGCACAGTGGGTTTGAATTGTTGTTGAATTGTCAATTCCATTGTATATATGTCACATAAATCCCAATAAAGTAGGTTAACCCGGAAAAAGTTCTAATGTAAATGACGCTTAACATAAACGAATTTAAATCCACTTGATTTACACAGTCCTGAAATACATTCTAAATGTTAAAAAGACTAAATCGTTAATGGGATATTCTCCCCAGAAGTTATTTACTGATTCTTTACAAAAAACTTTTCAAATGTTTGGTTTATAGTACGTTTACAGTTAACCGGTTAAACCCACAGGGTTTCAATTGTCAATTCCTTTGCATATATGTCAAATAAATCCTCATAAAGTAGGTTAACCCGGTAAAAAGTTCTAATGTATATGCCGTTTTATTGCTTTATCCATGGCATAATTGCAGAAGGTAGTCTCATTTGAGAATTTTATGATGGTAACTCTTTTTAATTGTCACAGATGGTCTAGCAATTTCTAGTGCATTCGGACCTTTCTATAATAAGGGTGTTTTCTGAATGTTAGGTGTACTGTACAAATTTTTGGCAATTTTGATAGATTTTACAGATTTTTCAGATATTTTTATCTGTAAATGATTCTATCAGTGCTTAGTGTACATAATTAAACTAAATTAAAGAGCTTTTTTAAAATATTTTCAAAAAAAATGTATTAAAGTAAAAAATCACACAATGTTTTAATTATATGGCCACTTCAAAATCGATGTATTTTCATAAAAACCGTTATTTATGGAAAAATGCATGCAATAATTTTCTATTTTCACACTAAATCTCTTAAGTGCAGTATATCGAACTGTTCTGAAATAAAAAAAAAATCAAAAACACTTCAAACGAATCGAGGGCTGATCAAAAAATGTATACCACAGTAAATGTTTTAATTCTGTGACCACCATTGTATATATAAATGAAATGATGTGCGTTGTCTGCTAAAAACTAGGGAACGGTTCATCGGATTTTAATAATTCCTTTTGTGTTGTATTCGCATTGTTAACCGGAAGATTTAGCAGTTAAAAAATGAAAAAATATTGGTTTTGAAAGAATCGAATATATTGAATTAAAATTAATTTTTTGTCAATCAATAAAAATAAAAATGCCAAAACGGGGACGACAAAACATTGGTCGACAGAGCCAATTGCTCCAAAAAATGTGGTTGTTAATGAAATTAACAACTTCATTCAAAATGTGTTACCTGGGGAGTTGGTTTCTTATACGTCAGTAGATACGGCCATGAATCAGGATGAAGTAGTGAACTATCCAACGGAATTATTCAATTCTTTAGAATTGCCTGGATTGCCACCGCACGAGGAATATAAACCCACCGCGACTGTGCAATGGAACAAGACTGTTCATCAAAAAATTATTAAAAAACGTAATCGAGGCCACAATTATCCAAGGTAATTATAAAGGAGATGTAGTAGCATTCCCATGATCACAGCGGATATACCATTTGATTTTAAGCGAATTCAATTTCCCGTTCGTTTGGCATTTGCTATTACCATTAAAAAGTCACAAGGTCAGTCACTGCAAGTTTGTGAAATTAATTTGGAAACTCCATGTTTTTCTCACGGTCAGCTGTTCGTCGCGTGCTCCCGTGTCGGAAGGCCTTCATCTCTGTTTATTTACGCACCGGATAACGCAATACAGAACATAGTTTATTCAAAAGAGTTACATTAATTATATGTAATTATTTATTTTAGTTGTACATTAATGAGTTAAATAAAATTGTAAAAATAAACTTTGTTCCTATGAGTACTGTTTTCAATAAAAACTGATTTTAATTTTTTGTTGTCAAAAAATTTATTTTGAAAGAATGCAAACTATGAAAATACATGCAAAATGTCTAACTAACAAGAT